TTACTTATCACCTGACCAAAGATATGGCTCCATCAACACTGTGCAAAACGAGGGATTTAGGAAAATGATCAACACCCTAGACTAACGCTACACAGTGCCGTCCCGCAACTATTTTTCTATTGTTGCACTACCTGCTCTATACACGCAGTGTCGAGCAACGGTGGAGACGCAATTTCAAGCAGTACAACATTTTGCGGCAACGACAAAATGTTAGACATTTGTTGTTTTTATGTTTATTTATTGTTTTTATATTCAGTCTCAACTGTTACGAAGTTGATGTGCAGTTAATAAGCGCAATAAATATTTATACTGGAAAAGAAAATCGTGAGAGAATCGTGATCTCAATTCTAAGCAAAAAAATCGTGCAGCCCTAGTGCTCACGTTGACTCAGGGATGAGTTGCTGCCCTGGGTGGAGGACTTCACGAGTGTGGGGAGCAGGATCAGTCAGCAGTGATGAGGATGTTGTGGTGAAAACAGAGCTGAGTGTAAAAGCAAAGCTGCTGACTGGTCGGCAGTCTACGTTACTTTCCTGACCACGAGCTCTGGGTAGTGACCGAAGACAGGGACCATGAAAACGAGCTTTCTGATTGGTTCGGGCCTCTCCCTAACAGATAGGGTGATGAGGAGATCACATTAAAGAGAGCTAGCTGAGGTGGTTCTGGGGAGGTCTCCTGGGGTCCTAAGGTGTTCGAGGCATATCTTACCACACACGGAGGACACACTGGAGTGATTATCTGTCAAGTGTGGATGGATGGTGCTTTTCTAATGGTGCTAAATCAAACAGCACTCTGCAGAAGGAAAAGTACTCATATTTATTTATTTATCTTTCGCACCCACACCACTAATATATACTTTTCCTCCTGTGAAATCTCTTGAAAACTTCCTCTTATAAGGGACATTTGGTTTCCACGTGCCTCTTTACCTTGATTGACACATTGTTTTGCATTAGCTAACGATCCAACAGACAACATACTTGGGTGGAGCGCTACTGACATCCTTGCTTCAGCTGAAATCATAAGACATGTAGAATTTATGACACATTTTCTATTGTCTTTAGTTTGCTCATCACAAGAAAGCAATGCCTTTTCCCGTTATTAACCTCCCCGCTGTCAGTTGGGGCCTTTGATGTGTCACGCAGTCGACAGTTGTGCAAACCGACGAGTTCTCGATGACAGGAGCTTTTTAAAGGATTGCGTTAGAGTGCTTTGTATGAGTCCATATAAAGTACTGATACCCTTTGTGCTGTTATGTTGTGCATTCA